CTTGGCTCTTCCCACACAGGCGGCTGCGCCCAGGGATGCCCTCGCTGCCTTGCTCGGTCTGCACTCTGCACGCACTCAGAGGCTCCTGAGCAGCGGCGACACCCACATAGGCGCCCCGGAGGCAGCAGCGGCTCCTCCTCCTGCCCCGCGAAGGGGCAGCTCGGGGCCGGGCGAGACGGGGGGAAGCCATACAATATTTAAAATGAATAATGATTTTAATCAACATAAACTTACAGTGGTACCTTGGGTTACAGACGCTTCAGGTTACAGACGCTTCGGGTTACAGACTCTGCTAACCAGAAATAGTACCTCGGGTTAAGAACTTTGCTTCAGGGTGAGAACAGAAACCGCGCGGTGGTAGCAGCGGGAGGCCCCATTAGCTAAAGTGGTGCTTCAGGTGAAGAACAGTTTCAGGTTAAGAACGGACTTCTGGAACGAATTAAGTTCTTAACCCAAGGTACCACTCTATAAATATTTCAATGGGAAGTATGGGCCTGCTAATTTATGTTGGTCAGGAGAGAATCAGCTAAATAATCATGGGCGGGCGTTTTTCTCTCCCCCACCCCACGCCCCAAAAACTGCAAAACGTGGGAGCAGTGGGAATGGCAGTGAAAGGGCAAGCCTGGAAAGTGAGAGGAAGATAAGAGAGAGGGGCTTAGGAAGGGAGAAAGCAGAGTGGGGGGTTTGTGTGTCAAATTCAGGAGGTAGCTGCACTTTTCGAAATGCTTCTCTGCTTTGGAACTTGCAGAGTTCCACCCCACCCCATCTTCTTCCGCCACCCCAGAGATTAAAATGGTAGCGCTGGGTGGCACCCGCCCACTCTCGCTAACCTGCAGCCCTTCAGGGATCTCTCCCTGGAGAGAGCCAACCCCTTCCAGAAGAAGTTAAAACTTGCAAAGGCTACCAAGGCATGGAGCTGAATTCTCCTCACACACCCCCGCCATAAAAAAAGGACAGGTGAAACTTGCAAAAAGGGCTGCCTCACATGAGTAGACTGGCGCCAGTGCGCAGAGAAAGAGACGCTGAGCTTTTCTTGACAGCATCCCAAACTCCTCCAACAGTGGCAGGTTGCAAAGGCGAGACGTGCATGCTGGGTGGGGTATGCGGGGCTTGCGAGATGGGAAGGAGAGTGGTGGGGAAGCGGGAGACCTGGAGGGGCGGCGACTGAGCCGCGAGGGACCCCAGCAGCGGTGCTGCCTTCCGCCTGAAGCGCCTGCGCACAACGCCTCCTGGCCGCCGCCATTTCCTGCTCCGCCCTCTCCACCTCTGGCCTGGGACCCCCACAGCACCAGAAGCCAGACAGCCAGCAGCAGCAGCAGCGAGAACTGAATTTAGGACCTTGGCGGGCCTGATCCGGCCTGTGGGCCGTTGTTTGAGGACCCCTGTCTTAACCTGACCATAAGCCCTCTCTCTTCTCAAATCCATCCCTATCTTCTCAAATCAAGCCCCATCTCTTCACCTGACCCGTAGCCCTATCTCTCTCTCCCTCCCTCCCTCTCTTTATCCTCCCTCTCAAAGTTCTGCTCCTCCCCCTTCTGTGACTTTGTAGCCAATCAGTGACAGGCTCCTTCACTCTGACGGAATTTCAGGGAGACTGCGCCAGCAGACTCTGGCCTGGCTGTGCTGTCCGTCACACCTGTCCTCAAGTCGAGGGGTGTCTGGGTTCCTTGACAGTGTGTGGCCAGTTCCTTCTTGGAGCTCGGAGAGCTATCTAACCACCTAGGGTCTTTGTACTAAGTTTAGCCAATGCATTCGAATGGAGAAGGGAGGGGAGCTTTGAGTTGAACAAATCCTTTAATTCCAGTATTTCTATTGTTCTGTCTCTTCCTAGAGGGTTTCCCAAAAAGGGACACTGGTGGCGCTGTGGTCTAAACCACAGAGCCTAGGACTTGCCGATTAGAAGGTCGGCGGTTCGAATCCCCACGATGGGGTGAGCTCCCGTTGCTCGGTCCCTGCTCCTGCCAACCTAGCAGTTCGAAAGCACGTCAAAGTGCAAGTAGATAAATAGGTACCACTACAGCGGGAAGGTAAACGGCGTTTCCGTGCGCTGCTCTGGTTCGCCAGAAGCGGCTTAGTCATGCTGGCCACATGACCCGGAAGCTGTACACCACCTCCTTCGGCCAATAAAGCGAGATGAGCGCCGCAACCCCAGAGTCGGCCACGACTGGACCTAATGGTCAGGGGTCCCTTTACCTTAGCGAGTTTTCTGCTTATTCCCCATTGTTGTTGAAGGCATGATGGTGGCGCCTGCCGGTGCTTCAGAAACTTCGGCTGCTGCAGAATCTGGCAGTCAGGTTGCTCACCGGAGCAAGACTGTGTGAGCATATTACACTGATCCTGGTCCAACCACACTGGAAACCAATTAGTTTCTGAGCCCAATTGAAAGTGCTGGTTTGGACCTATAAAGCCTTAACAGCTCAGGATCACAATACCTCAAATATTGCCCCAGGCTGGATATCACCCTCTAAGACACTTCTTCATGTGCCTCCTCCATGTGTGGAGGGTGACAAAACAAGACTGGGACTTTTCTACAGTGGCTCCGTTTGTGGAAAGCTCTCCACAGGGAGCTTTGGCTGGCACCTTCATTATGCGCCTTTAGGTCCCGAGCGAAAACATTCTTCTTCAACCAGGACTTTGGCTGAATAAAGGGCGGTGATAAATGAAATATACAAATGTCTGTAGTAATAAAAACACATCTTTGTGGGGAGAAGCTCTCCTGCACAAAACTGCTGCATTAAAAATAAAAATAAAATTTGCTATTGCATGTACAGAAAGTGGGGAAGGAGAAGGAAGGGACCAGCGGCCTTTTATGCGAGTGATTCCAAATCCTTGCATGACTTGCAGGCCACACAAATATATTTTTTTAAAGTTGACTGCCCTTTGGGGCAAATCTGGTACATCACAAAACATGTATTTCACAAATTAGTTTTCCAAAATGGTGTGTTTCCGGGCTTAGAGCAGCACACATGATGTGGAAATTCATGAAGGAGTTCCTGACCAGAGATCCAAATAAAACCAGGTAACGGAATCAAAAGATATTTATTGTGCACACCGAGGATTTATTATCCGCTTCTCACAGGATTTATTTTCCACAAACAAAAATATAGCTGGGACTGACCGCTGAGACCATATAACACCGGTCCTGAAAGACCTACATTGACTCCCACAATTCCAAGTGTTAGTGCTGACCTTTAAAGCCCTAAATGGCCTCAGCCCAGTATACCTGAAGGAGCGTCTCCACCCCCATCGGTCCTCCTCCAAGGGCCTTCTGGTGGTTCCCTCACTGCAAAAGTGAGGATATAGGGAACCCTGCAGAGTGGCGCCTGTCCTATGGAACATCCTCCCTTCAGATGTCAAGGAAATAATAAATTGATGTTTTATTGTGTTTTTAATATTCTGTTGGGAGCCGCCCAGAGTGGCTGGGGAGGCCCAGCCAGATGAGTGGGGTATAAGTAATAAATTTATTGTTGTTGTTATTATTATTATTATTATTATTATTATTATTATTATTATTATTATTATTATTATTATTTGTACTACTACTACTATAGGATTCTGCGGCAGTAACCAATCAGCTTCTAACATGTTAAGGCATGAGAAATACTATTCTCTTGTTACTCACTTTTGCCTATACAGTCCATCTATCTGTACGTAACTGTTTCTGCAAAAGCCTACAAGCGGTATATGTTTATTGTTTGTTGTTTGAACCATTATGGTCATATGACATATATACATAAATATGGCATTAAAATACAGTATCAGACTATATTACACACACACACAAATAAGTTTTTAGATGTCATTCCCAATTAAATCTTTACAGTCCACCATGTTCTCCTCAATGAACATTCTCAATTTTTGGGCAGCAACTTTGTCACAGATTTCTCAAACAAGACAACAAATATGTGACTTTCAGTTGATCATCCGCATCAGGTATCTTACATAACAAATCAAGGATAACCTTGGTTCAGAATAGAGAGAGCATATTGGTAGAGGTCTACTGCCTAGTTAAGGCATACACAAAGATGCTGTTCTGCGATAATTTTTTATAGCGTCCCTCTAAATATTCTGAGCACATAGTCTGAAAACAAAAGTCAGAAATGCTTGCCTAAATGAACAGATTGGTAAATCAGAGGGGAAATTCTCAAGTTCGTGTCTTATTTTAATTAAATACCAATGTGGGGCAGTGTTCAAAATTAGCCAGGCGCCAGACACAGTTTGCACCTGGCTACTGGCGACTTATCACTAGACAGATGGATATACATACTCCCAAAACTGTTTTACTGAGCCTGAACTTTTGCAACAGTAAAGTATTTGGTCCTTAAGCTGCTTCCTTGCTGTACTGGAAAAGCCCTCGTGCATGGATGAAGGTGAAGAATTGCACATCGTCAAAGAGTGAGCTACTAACTCCCTACTAGGAAACACTGGTCTGCGAGTGCTCCAATTGGAGAACAGCTTTTACCACTGTAACGGAAGCTCTTTCCACACATCAGCTTTCATAGGGTTAGTCTCCTGAATGAGTTATCCGGTGTCGAGAAAGGTGATGACTGTGGCGGTAGCTCTTTCCACACTGCAAACATTTATATGGTTTGTCCCCTGTGTGAATTCTCCTATGTGCATGAAGGGTGCTAGAGTCACTGAAGCTTTTTCTACATTCCAAGCATTTATACGGTTTGCCCCCTGTATGAGTTCTTTGATGCAAAGTAAGGAGGCTACCGTGACCAAACCTCTTTCCACACTCCAGGCGTTCATGTGGTTTGTTCCCTGTACGAGGTGTCTGATGTCATTTAAGGTGAGAATTGCACTTGAAGCTTTCACCACACTCAATGCACTTATATGGCTTCTCCCCTGTGTGAATTCTATGGTGCATGTTAAGGGACCTGCTGTGACTGAAGCTCTTTCCACACTCCATGCATTTATAAAGTTTCTCCCCTGTGAGTTCTTTGATGTTTAGTAAAGGTACTATAGTCACTGAAGCTCTTTCCACACTCCATGCATTTATAAGGTTTTTCACCTGTATGAAGTCGTCGATGCACATTAAGGGAGGCACTCTGATTGAAGCTCTTTCCACACTCCATGCATTTATATGGTTTTTCCCCTGTGTGAGTTCTTTGATGTTTAGTAAGGGTACTACTGTCAAAGAAACTCTTTCCACATTCCCAGCATTTATAAGGTTTCTCCCCTGTATGAGTTCTTTGATGCAAAGTAAGGTAGCCACTGTAACTGAATCTCTTTCCACACTCCATGCATTCATAAGGTTTCTCCCCTGTATGAGTTATCTGATGCACATTAAGGTGGTCACTCTTTCTGAAGCTCTTTCCACACTCCATGCATTCATAAGGTTTCTCCCCGGTATGAGTTCTTTGATGCACATTAAGGTGGCTTCTGCTTCTGAAGCTCTTTCCACACTCCATGCATTCATAAGGCTTCTCCCCTGTATGAGTTATCTGATGCACATTAAGGTGGCCACTGTTTCTGAAGCTCTTTCCACACTCCATGCCTTTATAAGGTTTCTCCCCTGTATGAGTTCTTCGATGCACATTAAGGTAGCTACTTCTTCTGAAGCTCTTTCCACACTTCATGCATTCATAAGGTTTCTCCCCTGTATGAGTTCTCTGATGCACATTAAGGTGGCCACTGTATCTGAAGCTCTTTCCACACTCCAGGCATTTATATGGTTTTTCCCCTGTATGAGTTTGTCGATGCAGATTAAGGTTGACACTGTTTCTGAATCTCTTTCCACACTCCATGCATTCATAAGGTTTCTCCCCTGTATGAGTTCTTTGATGTTTAGTAAGGTAGCCACTGCAGCTGAAGCTCTTTCCACACTCCAGGCATTTATATGGATTTATATGGTTTTCCTGTGTGTGAATTATATGATGCCTTTTAACAGACTTGCTGCAACTGAAGCTCTTTCCACACTCCATGCATTCATAAGGTTTCTCCCCTGTATGAGTTCTTTGATGCACATTAAGGTGGCCACTGTATCTGAATCTATTTCCACACTCCAGGCATTTATATGGTTTTTCCCCTGTATGAGTTCGTCGATGCACATTAAGGGAGGCAGTCTGACTGAAGCTCTTTCCACACTCCAGGCATTTATATGGTTTTTCCCCTGTATGAGTTATTTGATGTCTAATAAGGATGCTTCTGGCACTGAAGCTCTTTCCACACTCCATGCATTCATAAGGTTTCTCCCCTGTATGAGTTATTTGATGCTCATTAAGGGAGGAACTCCGACTGAAAGTCTTTCCACACTCCATGCATTTATAAGGTTTCTCCCCTGTATGAGTTCTTTGATGCACATTAAGGGAGGAACTCCGACTGAAAGTCTTTCCACACTCCATGCATTTATAAGGCTTCTCCCCTGTATGAGTTATTTGATGCTCATTAAGGTGGCTACTGTTTCTGAAGCTCTTTCCACACTCCATGTATTCATAAGGTTTCTCCCCTATATGAGTTCTTTGATGCTCATTAAGGGAGGAACTCCGACTGAAAGTCTTTCCACACTCCATGCATTCATAAGGTTTCTCCCCTGTATGAGTTCTTTGATGCTCATTAAGGGAGGAACTCCGACTGAAAGTCTTTCCACACTCCATGCATTTATAAGGCTTCTCCCCTGTATGAGTTCTTTGATGCTCATTAAGGTGGCTACTGTTTCTGAAGCTCTTTCCACACTCCAGGCATTTATATGGTTTTTCCCCTGTGTGAGTTTTTTGATGTCTAATAAGGATGCTTCTGGCACTGAAGCTCTTTCCACACACCATGCATTCATAAGGTTTTTCACCTGAGTGTACGCTTTGATGTCTAGCAAGGGCTGTGCGACTACAGAAGCTCTTTCTGCACACAGTACATTCATGTTTTTTCTCCACCCTGTTAAGTTGATTTTCATCTTCTTGGGAAACACTGTGTTCATCCCTTGGCTTCACTGTTTCTCTCCTCTCTTGTTTGTTGGCTCCATCTTGAACCCCCAACTTCCTTTCCTTCTCTTGCGCCTCACCTCTTTCTGGCCAGACTTCTGATGGCTCCTCCTCATCCAGGACCCCCCAAACATCTCCTGATGGAATAAAAATTTTAAAATAAAGGTTGATATAGCTGTTTCCTTATCAAAACTCAAGGCCTGGCACTATGTTAAAGGCGTTTTACATGAAAACAATGATGTGATACCTGGTTTTAATAAAATATCACCATTTAATCAAGGGTTATTTGTATCAGAAAAGTTCTGGTGAGCAGTCCCTAAGATTAACCAAGCCATAAATAACACAATTTAAACCAGCAGGCAATAACATCAACAGAGCCTGCCTGCCTATGGGCCTGTGTGGGGCGGCTGCCTCAGGTGTCACCCCCAAAGGGGCGTCACTGCTCAGCTTTGCTGCTAGTCTCCCCGGCCTCCAGGGGCGAAGTGGAATGGGCAGCAAAGCTTTGTGAGTCCTCTCCCCTCCAGCCAAGTCCCGAAAAGGATCCTCCCCCAACAAGGGCATGCCCACAAGAGGGCAGACATTCCACCATTCAGCTTTGTCAGGATCTGAAAAGGCTCTTTGCCAGTGAATGGGGGGAGGCGTCTGCACCCCTTGGAGGTCTCGTGGGGACCACCCCACCCAACTTGCAGGGGTACGCTCCTTATGGATTTTGAGCCCCCATTTTGGGGCAGAAGTGAGGCCACCCCTGAGCATTGATAATACAGCACTGCAACTCAGAGAAGCTTGAAAAGTCTAGATCTGCAGAGCTTGTTGAAAAACCAACATGAATAATAACAATAGTAGCATTTATTTTATTTATATCCCAACCGTCTGGCTGGGTTTCCCAAGCCTCTCTGTGTGGCTTGCAGCATATATAAAAATGCAATCAAACCTCAAATATTAAGAAACAGAAGATTCTATATATGCAACAAACAAACCAATACATCAATAGAAACCAATAACAATAACAAGATACTCAAGTATTCTACAAATTAGGATCCCCCACACAGAAGATTTTTAGTATGCTTTTTCTACCATTCCCCATGCTACATTGCCACAATGCATTATACTTCAGGCTGCTTTAGAAGACCGTTCAGAAACTACAGAGTGCTGACCGGTGCAAGAGGCTCTGAGCATATCTGGGTTCCTGTCTTCAAGTCAAGGTGCTGATTTTGACTTATGTAGCTCAATGGCTGCTTCTCATGAATCCACCTAGAGCCTGCACTCATCATCAGAGGTCCTTCTCACAGTGCCCTCTCCAACTGAGGTGCAAAGAGAGGCATTACGGAATGCGTCTTTCAGTGCTGGCTCTGCACCTAAAGAATGCTGTCCGCCAGGGAGGCAACCCAGAAGCCATCACTGGCTAATTGTAGCAGAGAAGCAAGAATATTTATATTCAGCCAGGCTTCTGGCTTTTAACTTGGGAGAAAATCAAACACTGTGACCTCCTTTAGCGGAGCTGAAGGGAGGCACTCCGAGGAACCCATACCTATTATAACTATTAACGAAGGCGAAAAGGATCCTTACCCTGAGAGGCCACCATCTCATGAACCTCCACCATGACGTCCTTGTACAGAGCTCTCCGTAGGGCCCAGTTGTCGTCAGCAAAATGCAAGGACACTTGTCAAAGCTCACTGATCCCTGGAAGGACAGAACAATTCCCTTCCTTATAGACACTCCAAGGCAAGGTGTGGAAACCATCTCCCTTCAGCTCCCCCTCCGATGATAGATGGGGCAACTGGAGATTTTACCTTCAATGTTTATTTGTTTTTTTAATAAGATGTTAAAATCTGGATAACTAAATTTAAGACTGGGGGAAATGAGTGTTTTGTCCCACCCCATACTCCCTCCTTCCTCAAGTGTGTAAAGACCATACATGCTGCCCAAGAGGCAAAATGGGAAGTGGAGAGGGATAATTTTTTCAATGATGGCTTATGCATGCTGGTTTCTAAATTGGTTTGTGGGTTTTAGTTGTGTTCTAGCTCCCATTGGATCACTGTGCCACTTGAGAGACCTTTTGGATCAGGTGTTTAGAAATCTTGAACATAAGATAAAATTACTACAGCTGCAGATGGCCAGTTATATCCCCAGGGGCCCACCTTTTTTAATGATATATGTTTAGTACGTACATTTTGCAGAGGAAAAGTTTTTTCTCATGGTTTAATTTGCAGTGGACCTATGGCCTTCGATACAATAAAATGCTAAAGAGTCTTAACTGAGGAGGATCCTCTCCTGCCATAGAGTCTGCAGCTCCTTCTGCACACCTTTGAAGGTGACCCGGAAACTAGATCAAATCCAGAATGCAGCAGCTAGACTCATAACTGGGAGCAGCAGCCAACTAAGACCTGAAAGACCGGTCTACATTAGCTCCCAGTATGTTTCCGAGCAAAATTCAAAGTGTTGGTGCTGACCTTTAAAGCCCTAAATGGCCTCAGCCCAGTATACCTGAAGGAGCATCTCCACCCCATCGCTCAGTCCTGACACTGAGGCCCAGCTCCAAGGGCCTTCTGGCAGTTCCCTCCCTGCGAGAAGTGAGGTTACAGGGAACCAGGCAGAGGGCCTTCTTGGTAGTGCCCCCCCCTGGAAAGCCCTCCCATCAGATGTCAAGGAAATAAACAACTATCTGACTTTAAGAAGACATCTGAGGGCAGCCCCGTTCAGGAAAGCTTTTAATGTTTCATCTTTTATAGTGCTTTTAATTTTCTGTTGGGAGCCGCCCAGAGTGGCTGGGGAAACCCAGCTAAATGGGCGGGGTATGAAGGAATAAAATAATAATAATTCCTCCTGCTCCTCCCTGGCTGGCAGGAGACTCTCCTGACTGCCCGCCATTCCTCCCCATTCCCTGCCCTGCGGCCTTTGCTGGGCGCTCCTTCTGCTTTCTCTGGACAGAGGAGCGGGAGGAAAGGCCGCAGGATGAGGCCAGAGGCCGGTCAAGGCCAGCGAGGAGCGTCGCTTCGGCCTCCCGCTTCCCCTCGCAGGAGAAGACGACCTTTCCCCATCGCCCCTTAGTTCCCCCCAGGAGGGACGCGGCTCCCTCCCTCTCGCCCCCCAATTCCGCCCCTGACTCGGCCCACTCCCCCCAGTTACCCGCCTCCAGGAAGGACAGCATCAATCCGGGGAAGCGGAACAGGAAGCGGAAGCGCCTCCTCTCTCCCAGTCTTTCCCTTCCGCTCTAGGAATAGAAGCTCTATCGCCGCTGTTAACCCTTGCGGAGCCGCGGGGTAGGAGCCTCTTGGCTGCTCCGGGCAGAGAGGGAGGAGGAGCGCCCGGCTGGTCTCCGGCTCTGAAGCAAGAAGGGGAAACCCGGCTGCAGGATCAGGCCAGCGGCGCCCCCAGGACAGAATCCCTCCTCCGCAGTTGCTCCAAGCAAGATCCGAGTTCAAGAGCAGCTTTATCCTCACCTTTAGTATTCTACTTATTTATATCCCGCCTTTTTCCCAGACCAAGAGCCAAGGCGGCTTACAAAGGGATTGCCATGGTTATAAATTCTAAAAGGCAGGCGGCATTAAGAGGCAAGGAACTGCAATTGTTTCAAAGATCCTGGTTGAAATCAGAATTAGGAAAAAAAAATTAAAGATGCACATTTTTTGTGAAATCAGCTGAGAAGAGAGGTCCAGAGGCTGTAAAAAGATGTGTGCTTTAAATATTTTCAAATGACATAATACCTGACAGAATCTTGAGTTTGGATTGGCTATTTTGGATCCAACTGAGTCCTTTCCAAGTGTGCCTCTAAAATGGTGCATGCACACAGGGAAACAAACCTCCACGAGGGACCTTGGTTTCCTGGCTTAGAATAGCACACACGATGTGGAAATTCATGAAGGAGGTCCTGACCGGAGATCAAAATAAAACTAGGTAACGGAATACCAAAATATAGTTGGGACTGGCCACTGAGACCACATAACACCTGTCCTGAAAGACGTACATTGGCTCCCACTATGTTTCCAAGCACAATTCCAAGTGTTGGTGCTGACCTTTAAAGCCCTAATTGGCCTCAGCCCAGTATACCTGAAGGAGCATCTCCACCCCCCGTCGTTCAGCCCGGGCACTGAGGTCCAGCTCCGAGGGCCTTCTGGCAGTTCCCTCACTGCAAAAAGTGAGGATACAGGGAACCAGGCAGAGGGCCTTCTTGGTAGTAGCACCCGCCCTGTGGAACAGCCTCCCATAAGATGTCAAGGAAATAAACAACTATCTGAATTTTAGAAGACAGCTGAAGGAGCCAAGTTTAAGGAAGTTTTTAACGTTTGATGTTTTATCATGCTTTTAATATTCTGTTGGGAGCCACCCAGAGTGGCTGGGGAGGCCCAGCCAGATGGGCGGTGTATAAATTATTATTATTATTATTGCTACACAAATGTCATAGCTCCTCTGGTGTTTGGGGGTATACAGCCAAATGCAGCATTTTGCGGCAGTAAACAATCAGCTTCTAACATGTTAAGGCATGAGAAATACTATTTTGTTGTTACTGAATTTTGCCTATACACTGCATCTATCTGAACGTAACTGTATCTGCAAAAGCCTACAAGCTGTACATGTTTATTGTTGACTGAAGCATTATGGTCATATGCAAGATATACATAAATACAGTGGTACCTCGGGTTACAGACGCTTCAGGTTACAGACTCCGCTAACCCAGAAATAGTACCTTGGGTTAAGAACTTTGCTTCAGGATGAGAACAGAAATTGCGGCGCGGCGGCAGCGGGAGGCCCCATTAGCTAAAGTGGTGCTTCAGGTTAAGAACAGTTTCAGGTTAAGAACAGACCCCAAGAACGAATTAAGTTTTTAACCTGAGGTACCACTGTACAGCTTTAAAATACAGTATCAGCCTATATTACACACACACACACACACACACACACACACACACACACTAATACAAATAAGTTTTTAGATTTCATTCCCAATTAAATATTTACAGTCCACCATGTTTTCCTCAATGAACTTTCTCAGTCTGGGGGCAGCAACTGCAGATCTCACAACTTTGTCACAGATTTCTCAAACCAGACAACAAATATGTGACTTTCAGTAATAATCACAATAATTTATTATTTATACCCCACCCATCTGTGTGGGTTTCCCCAGCCACTCAGGGCGGCTTCCAACAAAATATTAAAATACAATCGTCCATCAAACATTAAAAGCTTCCCTAAACAGGGCTGCCTTCAGATGTCTTCTATAAGTCTGGTAGTTTCTATAAGTCTGTTTTCTATAAGTCTGTAGTCTTCTATAAGTCTGTTTTCTGCAGATGCAATAAAGGCGGTGGTCTTCTTCATCGTCACTATTGCCACTTGGAAGGCTTGACATTGAGCTCTAACCCATGTGCGGTCATATGCAGAATGAGTCATCCACCACCGGCACTCTAGCCATCTCAGTGATTGTTTCATTGCCCTTAGACCGGTGGAAAACCATGGAGCTGCCCAGGCTCCATGCAATCAGAGGGGGCGCTTCAGAGCCAAACAGTCAATAGCCCTGGTTAACTCCACATTACAGTGGGCCACCAGGGAATCAGCTAAAAGACCATCAACATGGGATAAAGCATCCCCTACCACTCTCTGGAAACCATTTAGATCCATTAAGTGGCGGGGGCGGACCATCCGAATCGGTCCCACCCCCCTGCAGAGGGGAAGGGTCACGGAGAAGTCCAGTTGCACCAGGAAGTGGTCTGACCATAGCACTTCTCTCGCTTCGCTTTTATTAGTGTCAGATCACCAACATCCATAGAGGTCAAAGGCTATGAGCTGGGCCAGGCTTATTCAGGGGCAGTCCTATGGAGGCCATAGTTTCCACAAAGTCCCAAGAGGTCCCTTGCAAGGTCGTGTTGGCGTGAATGTTAAAATCCCCTAGGACAACCAAACTAGGTGTCTCCAAGAGAACATCCACCACAAACTGAAGCAGCTCGGGCAGGGAATCCTTGGTGCAGCGGGGAGGTCAGTACACCAAAAGGAATCCTGTACTGCCCCTATTGCCCAACTTCTAGAACATGCACTCAGAGAACTGGGTCTTCCCAATAGGACGCCTGGTGCAGACTAATGACTTCCTAAAAATCACTGCGACCCCCTCCCTCCCCGCCCACATGACCTGGGTTGCTGTGCATGAGAGAAACCTGGTGGACAAGCAGCGGCAAGGACAGGCCCATCTGCTTCATCCAACCAAGTCTCTGATACACATGCTAGGTCCAGTCCTCCATCCACGATCAAGTCATGGATGGCAGTGGTCTTATGAATCATTGATCTGGCATTGCACAGCAGAACCTTCAGGTTATGTGGGTATCCATTGCTGATTCCAGTATCCGTCCGGTCAAGACCAGACCCGGAGTCAGGGATAGTCCTCAAACAACGACTAAACCTGCCTCCTCGGTAATGACGTGGTCTGGTCTTAGCGTCTCTCCTCCTCCTACCCGTGATCACTGAGATCGGTTGTCCCAGTGCATCCCTCCCTGTGGAACATGCCCCAGCCATTTTGTTTTCTGGGACCCACTCCCAGGCAGCCCTGACGTCCTCCCCTTCAGAACAAAATAAAACCTATTTTTTAAAAAAGCAATAAAACAATAAAAACCAAAAAACAGTAAAAGTTAGAAACATACCTAAATTAGACCAATTTCCAAACACGACTAAACGTCCATCCCCCACGCCAGAAATAATTTTAAAGGTAAAAAATAAAAATTTAAAATATTTTAAAAATAACTGTGTGCTGTTCTGAGTTCTCCTGGGGAGAGACAGCAGCAGCCTCAGCTGTCCTTATGAGGCCTGCCCGCCCTGCCCTGGCCAGGTGGTGAGTGGCAGGAACGGGACCCCCAGGCAGGGGAGTCCTCCTCGGCAGTTGATTACATGCATTGGGTATCTTACATAACCAAACAAGGATAAACTTGGTTCAGAATAGAGAATATTGGTAGCGATCTACTGCTTAGTTACAGCATATACAAAGAAGCTCTTCTGCAATAATTTTTTATAGCGTCCCTCTAAATATTCTGAGCACATAGTCTGAAAACAAGTCAGAAATGCTTGCCTAAAGGAACAGATTGGTAAATCAGAGGAGAAATTCTCAAGTTCATGTCTTATTTTAATTAAATACCAATGTGGGGCAGTGTTCAAAATTAGCCAGGCGCCAGACACATTTTGCACCTGGCTATTGGCAACTTATCACTAGACAGCTGTTGCAACTAAAGCTCTTTCCACACCCCAAAAATGTATGTTGTTTGTCCACTGTACGAGTTCTTTCATGCACAGTAAAGAAACTACTATAACTGAAGCTCTTTACACACATCAACTTTTATAGGGTTAGTCCCCTGAAGGAGTTCTCTGGTGTCGAGAAAGGTGGTTACTGCGGCGGTAGCTCTTTCCACACTCCAAACATTTGTATGGTTTGTCCCCTGTGTGAATTCTCTTATGTGCATGAAGGATGTTAGAGTCACTGAAGCTTTTTCTACATTTCAAACATTTATACGGTTTCTCCCCTGTATGAGTTCGTCGATGCACATTAAGGGAGGCAGTCTGACTGAAGCTCTTTCCACACTCCAGGCATTTATATGGCTTTTCCCGTGTGAGTTCTTTGATGTTTAGTAAGGTAGCCACTGTAGCTGAAGCTCTTTCCACACTCCATGCATTCATAAGGTTTCTCCCCTGTATGAGTTATTTGATGCACATTAAGGGAGGAACTCTGACTGAAGCTCTTTCCACACTCCAGGCATTTATACGGTTTCTCCCCTGTATGAGTTTGTAGATGCACATTAAGGGAGGCAGTCTGACTGAAGCTCTTTCCACACTCCAGGCATTTATATGGTTTTTCCCCTGTATGAGTTTTTTGATGTCTAATAAGGATACTTCTGGTACTGAAGCTCTTTCCACACTCCATGCATTTATATGGATTTATATGGTTTTCCTGTGTGTGAATTATATGATGCATTTTAACAGACTTGCTGCAACTGAAGCTCTTTCCACACTCCATGCATTTATAAGGTTTTTCACCTGTATGAGATCTTCGATGCACATTAAGGGAGGCACTCTGATTGAAGCTCTTTCCACACTCCATGCATGTATATGGTTTTTCCCCTGTGTGAGTTCTTTGATGTTTAATAAGGGTACTACTGTCAAAGAAACTCTTTCCACATTCCCAGCATTTATAAGGTTTCTCCCCTGTATGAGTTCTTTGATGCAAAGTAAGGTAGTCACTGTTTCTGAATCTCTTTCCACACTCCATGCATTCATAAGGTTTCTCCCCTGTATGAGTTCTTTGATGCAAAGTAAGGTGGCCACTGTTTCTGAATCTCTTTCCACACTCCATGCATTTATAAGGTTTTTCACCTGTATGAGATCTTCGATGCACATTAAGGGAGGCACTGTGATTGAAGCTCTTTCCACACTCCATGCATGTATATGGTTTCTCCCCTGTATGAGATCTTCGATGCACATTAAGGTGGCCACTGTTTCTGAATCTCTTTCCACACTCCATGCATTTATAAGGTTTTTCACTTGTATGAGATCTTCGATGCACATTAAGGGAGGAACTCTGATTGAAGCTCTTTCCACACTCCATGCATGTATATGGTTTCTCCCCTGTATGAGTTCTTTGATGCACATTAAGGGAGGAACTCCGACTGAAGTTCTTTCCACACTCCAGGCATTTATAAGGTTTTTCACCTGAGTGTACGCTTTGATGTCTAGCAAGGGCTGAGCGACTACAGAATCTCTTTCCGCACACAGTACATTCATGTTTTTTCTCCACCCTGTTAATCTGATTTTCATCTTCTTGGGAAACACTGTGTTCATCCCTTGGCTTCACTGTTTCTCTCCCCTCTTGTTTGTTGGCTCCATCTTGAACCCCCAACTTCCTTTCCTTCTCTTGCTCCTCACCTCTTTCTGGCCAGACTTCTGATGGCTCCTCCTCATCCAGGACCCCCCAAACATCTCCTGATGGAATAAAAATTTCAAAAGAAAGGTTGATACAGCTGTTTCCTTATCAAAACTCAAGGCCTGGCACTATGTTAAAGGTGTTTTACATAAAAATTAATGGTGTGATACCTGGCTCTAATAAAATATCACCATTTAATGAAGGGTTATTTGTATCAGAAAAGTTCTGGTGAGCAGTCCCTAAGATAAACCAAGCCATAAATAACACAATTTAAACCAGCAGGCAATAACATCAACAGAGCCTGCCTCCCTATGGGCCTGTGTGAGGCGGTTGCCTCAGGTGTCACCCCCAAAGGGGCGTCACTGCTCAGCTTTGCTGCTAGTCTCCCCGGCCTCTCAACTTTGTCAGGATCTGAAAAGGCTCTTTGCCAGTGAGTTGTCACGGCTAAAAATTGGCCGCTGTTTCTTTAATGCTTAAAAAGCTAGGTCAGCATGAGTCAGCGGCCTGCACCGGGTTGTATATATGGAGTGAGAAATGTTAATTTGTGGTTGGGTTTGGTTGGTTGGTTAGTGAAAGCTGGTAGTGTTGAGGTGTGTACAGTTGGTCAACCGCTTTTGCAGAAAGACTTTTAAGAATAAAAGCAGAAAGTACTCTGCAAGGATACTTTTCTCGTGGACTGTTTTATGCCAACAAGAGTCCGAGGAACAGGCTGAGGCGACAAAGGGAAGTCAGAACTTTTTTTATATATACAAACACTGACATGGATGGGGGGGAGGCGTCTGCACCCCTTGGAGGTCTGGTGGGGTGGGGGTGGGGGAACCACTCGACCCAACTTGCAGGGGTACACTCCTTATGGATTTTGAGCCCCCATTGTGGGGGCAGAAGTGAGTCCGCCCCTGAGCACTGATAATACAGCACTGCAACTCAGAGAAGCTTGAAAAGCCTAGATCTGCAGAGCTTGTTGAAAAACCAAAATGAATAATAACAATAGTAGCATTTATTTATTTATATCCCAACCGTCTGGCTGGGTTTCCCAAGCCTCTCTGGGTGGCTTGCAGCATATATAAAAATGCAATCAAACCTCAAATATTAAGAAACAGAATATTCTATATATGCAACAAACAAACCAGTACATCAATAGAAACCAATAACAAGATACTCCAGTATTCTACAAATTAGGGTCCCCCACATAGAAGATTTTTAGTATGCTTTTTCTACCATTCTCCATGCTAGATTGCCACAATGCATTATACTTCAGGCTGCTTTAGAAGACCGTTCAGAAAACTACATAGTGCTGAGCATATCTGGGTTCCTGTCTTCAAGTCAAGGTGCTGATTTTGACTTATGTAGCTCAATGGCTGCTTCTCATGAATCCACCTAGAGCCTGCACTCATCGTCTGAGGTCCTTCTCACAGTGCCCTCTCCAGCTGAGGGGCAAAGAGAGGCAATACGGAATGCGTCTTTTCAGTGCTGGCTCCCCACCTAAAGAATGCTCTCCCCCAGGGAGGCAACCCAGAAGCCATCACTGGCTAATTGTAGCAGAGAAGCAAGAATGTTTACTCTCAGCCCAGGCTTCTGCCTTTAACTTGGGAGAAAAACAAACACGGTGACCTCCTTTAGCGGAGCTGAAGGGAGGCACTCCGAGCCCCTGAGGAAACCCATACCTATTAAAACTATTAATGAAGGCGAAAAGGATCCTTACCCTGAGAGGCCACCATCTCACGAACCTCCACCATGACGTCCTTGTACAGAGCTCTCCGTAGGGCCCAGTTGTCGTCAGCGAAATGCAAGGACACCTGTCAAAGCTCACTGATCCCTGGAAGGACAGAACAATTCCCTTCCTTATAGACACTCCAAGGCAAGGTGTGGAAACCATCTCCCCTCAGCTCCCCCTCCGATGATAGATGGGGCAACTGGAGATTTTACCTTCAATGTTTATTTGTTTTTTTAATAAGATGTGAAAATCTGGATAACTAAATTTAAGACTGGGGGAAATGAGTGTTTTGTCCCACCCCATACTCCCTCCTTCCTCAGGTGTGTAAAGACCATACATGCTGCCCAAGAGGCAAAATGGGAAGTGGAGAGGGATAATTTTTTGAAGCAGAGCGCCCTGCACGCCAGACAGACATCCGCAGCGTGGGGAGCCCTGCCGGAGTTCCCCGCAGGGCTCCCCACGCTGCGGATAGCAGCCTGCCGCCCGGTGGGCGGGGCGCCCTGAAGCAAAGTGCCCCTCGCGCCGAGCAGACATCGGCCAGCCCCGCAAGCTTGAGGGACAGCAGGGAGGCGCAGCGCCGCCATCCCGCTGTTCCTCGACCTGGTTCAGTTTCCCCGACCTGCTTTGGGGGGGGGGAATAAAAGAAGAATTTTTTTCCTTTATTTCCCCCCCCAAAAAACTACGTGCGTCCTATGGGACGGAGCGTCCTATGGGACGAAAAATACGGTACCTGAAGAAGCATCTCCATCCCCATCGTTCAGCCGGACACTGAGATCCCTTGCTGCAAGAAGCCAAATTACAGGGAAACAGGTAGAGGGCCTTCTCGGTAGTGGCACCTGTCCTGTGGAATGCCCTCCCACAAGATGTCAAAGAGAAAAACAACTTCCAGACTTATAGAAGACATCTGAAGACAGCCCTGTTGAGGAAAGCTTTTAATGTTTCATCTTTTATTGTGCTTTTAATTTTCTGTTGGGAGCCACCCAGAGTGGCTGGGGAAACCCAGCTAAATGGCGGTGTATGAATGAATAAAATAATAATAATTATTCATCCTGCTCCTCCCTGGCTGGCAGGAGACTCTCCTGACTCCCTGTTTACTCCCTGCCATTCCTCCCCATTCCCTGCCCTGCGGCCTTTGCTGGGCGCTCCTTCTGCTTTCTCTGGACAGAGGAGCGGGAGAAAAGGCCGCAGGATGAGGCCAGAGGCCGGTCAAGGCCAGCGAGGAGCGTCGCTTCGGCCTCCCGCTTCCCCTCCTAGGAGAAGACGACCTTTCCCCGTCGCCCTTAGTTCTCCCCAGGCGGGACGCGGCTCCCTCCCTATCGCCCCCCAATCCCGCCCCTGGATCGGCCCATTCCCCCCAGTTACCCGCCTCCAGGGGGGACAGCCGCCGCCCCGCCCGGCATCTCCCGGGGAAGCGGAAGCACCTCCTCTCTCGCCAGTCTTCCCTTCCTCTCTAGGAATCGAAGCTCTGTCGCCGCTGTTAACCCTTGCGGAACCGCGGGGCAGGAGGCTCTTGGCTGCTCTGGGCAGAGAGGAAGGAGGGGCGCCCGGCTGGTCTCTGGCTCTGAAGCAGGAAGGGGAAACCCGGCTGCAGGATCAGGCCAGCGATGCCCCCAGTTGCTCCAAGCAGGATCTGAGTACAAAAGCAGCTTTGTCCTCACCTTTAATATTATATTATGTTATATATTGTATATAACATATACTGTATTGTATTGCGTATGCCCCTGTAATCTCACTGTATAAAAGTTGTACAAGTGACAATAATGTATTTCAATTTCAATATTTATTTATATCCCGCCTTTCTCCAGACCGAGAGCCAAGGCGGCTTACAAAGGGGTTGCCATAGTTATAAATTCTAAAAGGCAGGCGGCATTAAGAGGCAAGGAACTGCAATTGTTTCAAAGATCCTGGTTGAAATCAGAATTAGGAAAAAAAAATTAAAGATGCACTTTTTTTGTGAAATCAGCTGAGAAGAGAGGTCCAGCGGCTGTAAAAAGATGAGTGCTTTAAATATTTTCAAATGACAGAATACCTGACAGTATCTCGAATTAGGATTGGCTATTTTGGATCCAACTGAGTCCTTTCCAAGTGTGCCTCTAAAATGGTGCATGCACACAGGGAAACAAACCTCCACGAGGGACCTTGGTTTCCTGGCTTAGAATAGCACACATGATGTGGAAATTCATGAAGGAGGTCCTGACCCGAGATCTAAGTAAAACTAGGTAACGGAATAAAAAAAATATGTATTGTGCACACAGGTAGGGCTCATGTCACACTATTTTCCCCCAATGCACAAAAATATTGAATCATAGAGTTGGAAGAGACCACAAGGGCCATCGAGTCCAACCCCCTGCCAAGCAGGAAACACCATCAGAGCACTCTTGACATATGGTTGTCAAGCCTCTGCTTAAAGACCTCCAAAGTAGGAGACTCCACCACACTCCTTGGCAGCAAATTCCGCTGTCAAACAGCTCTTACTGTCAGGAAGTTCTTCCTAATGTTTAGGTGGAATCTTCTTTCTTGTAGTTTGGATCCATTGCTCCGTGTCCGCTTTTCTGGAGCAGCAGGGACTGGCCACTGAGACCACATAACACTGGTCCTGAAAGACCTACATTGGCCCCCACTACATTTCCATGCACAATTAAAAGTGTTGGTGCTGACCTTTAAAGCCCTAAATGGTCTCGGCCCACTATACCTGAAGGAGCGTCTCCACCCCATTGCTCAGTCCTGACACTGAGGCCCAGCTCCAAGGGCCTTCTGGCGGTTCCCTCCCTGCGAGAAGTGAGGTTACAGGGAACCAGGCAGAGGGCCTTCTTGGTAGTGGCACCCGCCCTGCGGAAAGCCCTCCCATCAGATGTCAAGGAAATAAACAACTATCTGACTTTCAGAAGACACCTGAAGGCAGCAAAGTTTAAGGACGTTTTTAACATTTGATGTTTTATTGTGTTTTTAATACTCTGTTGGGAGCCGCCCATATTGGCTGGGGAGGCCCAGCCAGATGGGAGGTGTATAAATTATTATTATTATTATTGATACACAAGTGTCATAGCTCCTCTGCTGTAAAAGCCTAGAAGCTGTACATGTTTATTGTTGACT